TTGGAGAGTCTGCTCATTTGTCCCGTCCGGATTCTTATCCATATCCGTATGTTTCCGACCTGTGTCCTATGTTCCTCCCGAACTCAATCTAATCCTGCGTCTAGTGTTGACTCAGCTTCCAATATCTAAACTCCCAGCTGTACGAAGAAGCACTGTTTCATTGGCGGAACTTTTTCAAGGGTAGTATCGCCTCAATAGGTTCGTTGCAGTGCCCCCCCCCCCCCCCCCGGTTCAGCGACGAAAAAGGACGCTAAAAAGAACTAGACGGTGCTTGGAGGAGCTGCGCGCTGTGGCCATTGAATTCATGCTATTTATATCAGTATGCGTGATGTATATTGACTTCAACACTGGTTCTGGACGCTTCCCCACGACTGGTGGGTTTCCAAGATTACTACGCCAATTGAAATATTTGTGGGCAGGAAAATCTACCTACGAAGACCATGAAGAGCGACAATAAATGCCCTTTCAGTTTTGTTCGAGCCCGTCATCCTGACCGTCTACTACCTTAAGTTAGCTGAGTGCTACCATACTTACCGTCGTCGCCGTTGGTAGGTCACTACATATCTCCAATAAATGTTCATGGATGCATACAGCATGCCCACAGACGGAAGTCGGAGACGTCTTGCGTTGTGGTATCGCAATAAATGCAGATTGTTCAATAAGGACGAGTACTTACCTATAAAGTTATAATTAAACAAATTGTTATCGAGTAGCCCCTGTCTCGATGACTCATACCCTGACCCCGCCGTGACTTTTTACTCAGTCGCGTTTCCGTTCCTGACGTTACTGATTCTGAAAATGCTGTGGTAAATTTAAGCTATACCATGAAGCTCGCTATAGTGGGAGGTGGCGCTTCCGCCTTTTACGTTGCCTCAAGGCTACTCTCTCGCCTGCCGCAGGACACGCATCGAATCCACGTATTCGACCGTCTCTGGGCACCTCATGGATTGGTCAGATACGGTGTTGCTCCAGACCATCCAGAAGTCAAAGTATGTTACTTCGTGCTTTCCAAACCAAAGAATGATTGCCTTATAGATCCAGTAGAATTGCACCCACAAGTTTGACCAAACGGCCACTGATCCACGGTTTCGTTTCTTTGGAAACGTGAATATCCAGCACCAGTCTGAACAGAAGAGCGTCATTCAACATGCTGTACAGCTTCCTCTGTCGTCGCTATACGCCAACTACACTCACCTTCTATTTGCCTCTGGCTGCCCGTTACCCACCCTACACCCTACTCTGCCGCCGTCTTTGCACTGTATTCCAGCTCTCAATGTGGTACACTGGTACACACAACACCCATCGTTTCCTGCTGTACCACCCCTGGAACGTTTGAAGCATGTAACTCTCATAGGAAATGGTAACGTGTCGTTAGACGTCGCACGGATGCTACTCACGCCTCCTGATGTTCTGCGACCATACGACGTACCCGAGAGTGTTATATCAGTTCTTGAGCGTTCAAGCATTGAGCATGTATCCATCGTAGCGCGCAGAGGCCCTTTTGATGCCGCTTTTACGACCAAAGAACTCCGCGAGATGATCAATCTCCCGGACGCGTCTATGGTACCCATACCATCCGAGCTTCTTGTGCCTCCTCCGGGAAAAGAGGTTTCTCGAGCGCAGAGTCGAAGCATACAACTTATGCAGAAAGGCTCCAAAAATCCATACGGGTCGACCAAGAAGACTTGGTCCCTTGAATTCTTTCGGTCCCCGGTCGGATTGGTATCTACGGACCAACTTGGGCCAGCAGAATTATCACTGGCACACACCGTTATTGATCCGGCTAATCCACGTCGTGCCATCCCTACAGGGCAGACATCTACGTTGTCCACAGACCTTGTAATTACCTCCCTGGGTTTCCACGCCGATGATTCCTCATCACCATTCCACGATTCGTCTCTGGGGCACTTGCGCACTGAGGCTGGGCGCATTATCGTCCCAGACCTACCTGGCGGCAAGGATCTGGTTACCGGGGGCGTCTTGAAGAACATGTACGCGTCAGGCTGGGCATCGATGGGAGCCAAAGGCGTCTTGGCGGCAACCATGATGGATGCTTATGCCGTCGCCGATACAATTTTGGGCGATCTAGACAATAGGGATACCAGTGAAGAAGTGTCTTTGATGAATCCGGACCCCCATCCGACGGATCCACCAGCTGAGATTGACGCTGCCGCTGGAAGTATCGTAGGGTACGAAGACTGGAAGAAGATAGACCAAGAGGAGATTTGCAGAGGTGAATCTAACAATAAGGAGAGGTTGAGGATGAGGTGGCAAGAAGTGAGGCAGTTTTTGAGACGGACATCTTAGTGCATCATCCTTAGGTCGCTACGGAGGTGCACAATACTCTCAACAAAAATCTCTTCACTTCATCTGTTACATAGTCACCAAGTTGCTATCATTGGAAGGCTTAGAACCTTGAGCAACGCGCTTGGCATTCAACCTTAATTGAGCACTTCCATAACCAGTAGAAAAAGCTCCAAAATGCGACCCATGTAGAGTGGACACATTGGGACTTGAACCCAACACCTCCCGCATGCTAAGCGGGCGTGATAAACCATCTACACCATGTGCCCATTAGAGATGTTCTTGTCGCAGCGTATACATAAAGATTGAAGCGAGAATTGCTAATAAAAGGTCGACTCCAGGTCTAGGAAAAACGCCGGAAACAAATTTAGTCTCAAGCAGATCCAGAAAGGCACAGACATGCCTTGACCGTCAGAACTAACCATCATGTTGATCGCGTCTCGGACAGACAATACGATCAAACTCCTCGTACAGTATCAAGCAAATCACAAACAAGGCTATCCTCTCAAAAGCCGTGCATTGATGACGGAAGAAAGCCTTCTTTGAAAGTACACACACAGAGGGTGGTTACCAATCGAATGATGGAACACCAAACATGAAATCCAGGTATTACTAGAGTAGTGAAGCTGTCGCCCTGACAAGGTGAAAGTTAACAGGGGCAACGGTGGGAGATGCTAAACCCGCATGGGTAGAGGTAGTGTTAAAGCATGTGCTCGAGGTTAAATACACTTCGATTGCTGCAGGAGGTAACAATTTCGGTCGACTTCACTTCGGTAGAAACTATTGGCGGTTAAATGGGTAAAGCTTTTCTGTGGCTGAGTTAAAAAAAGAAACAACTTGGAAGATGTTAAAAAAGGGGATACAATGAGTGTGTATTTCAGAGACGAGTTTTATTGCCTCTGAGCAGAAATCGGGTCCCTCAATTGGAGGAAAATGTTAGTGTACGCGATCATGGTGGGATTGCCGGAGTAGGAATTCCGCTGACGACTGGTTGGTCTAGAGCGGGAGAAGCAAACAGTGCCACACAGATGGTATGATATAATAAATCAGGCTGAAACTACGTCAACGTTCGTCATCTTCCCACCCCCACCCAGTGCGTCACTGCCCCTTGCCCCAGCATGTCGCCCGCCTCACAACCTCGCTCTGCCTCACCACGCCAAAAACGCGCCGACTTTGACCTTGAGCCGAACCCTTTTGAGCAGAGCTTTTCACGACCGTCGGCCTCAGCGTCGAACGGCAGGCAGGGAAAGGAGACGTCGTCGGGCGAGTCTGACCCGCCATCAGCGGAATCGAGCGAGAAATCCGGGACAAACAGGTCGAAGAGCAAGTCGCCGCCGGTGGAAGAGAAGCCGGTCTTGCCGCCACTCGCATCCATCTCGTCGCCGTCTGACCCTGGAGCGTACCAATGGGGAGGCTTCACACCAGGAATGGCCAACTCATTACGGGCCGGACCCCTTTCTCCCGCCATGCTTGCCGGTCCCCAGCCGCACCATCCGCCCAATGAGTTCGATCCGAACTCCTTCCGTACAGGCCTTACTCCCCGTACTGGCCTTACCCCCAGGACTGGCCTCACTCCGCTCGTCGGCGGCCCAGTCGCCTTCCCCCAGACCCCCGGCACTGCTGCCTTCATGCAACTTGTCAATCAAAACCAAACCATCACGCCCAACACCCTCAGCGCCATTAGTGGTGCCCTCAATGGTACCCCATATAACCCCCAGAACAATTCTGAAAACGGCGGCGAGTATCTGAATAGCGCTTCGAATGCTGCTACCACTGCCGCCAATGGCCTTTTCCTTCTCTCGCAGGCCCACCAGGAGCTTACGAAACGCGAGGAAGCTCAGGCCCGAGGGTCATCTCCTCCCAACCAAAATAGGCGTGGCACTAAAAGAAAAAACGCCAATGAGGGCAAAAGGAGGAACGCCCGAGGCAGGAAGATGGACGATGACGACGAGGATGACGAGGAAGATGAGGAGGAAGACTTCTATGAGCCTCAAAAGAAGCAACATTCTTTACAGCCGCAGCTTCAGAAAAAACCCGAGACAGAGGAGGAAAAGCGCAAGAACTTCCTGGAACGCAATCGGCAGGGTAGGTTGCCAGCTTCCAGTCTCCGCGTCGCCTCTTCTTACCTTGCTGTCAGCTGCCCTAAAATGCCGACAGCGCAAGAAAGCCTGGCTTGCCCAACTCCAAGCCAAAGTCGAGTTTCTCTCTCAGGAGAACGAGCGTCTCACTTCCGCGCTCGTAGCGTCCAGGGAAGAGATATCCCGACTGAGTGCTCTCGTAGGAGGCGTTGGCGTTGGCACGGGCGTCACCAATGGACCTGGCTCCGGTGTCCCTGTTAGCGTCGGTGTCGGCGTCATAGGCGGCAAGGAAGGTAGAGCGAGCGGTGGTGCGTATGGTTATTAGGACACTTGCATTTGTCGTTATTTTTCCTCCCTTGGTTTTCTTGTGTACTCCCAGTTCCCTTTCTATCATCGTATGCATACTCACGCTGCTACTGCTCTAACGCAATAAAACGAAACACGAAGATAAAGTGTTCATGTATTACTATCTCTTACTTAGATGGGAAACTTGAGTCGCGTCCCTTTGATACTTCTGATGCAGTTATGACGCGCATATGACGGGTGGTGATTAGGGGTACTTTTCTGCCCTTCTCTGTGATACCCAACCGAGCTCTGTCATTGATACAGTCGAACTCAGGGCACATGGTGTAGATGGTTTATCACGCCCGCTTAGCATGCGGGAGGTGTTGGGTTTCAAGTCCCAATGTGTTCCATTCGAGAGAACATTTTAGTGTTGTTGCCTCCAGTTGCGAGTGATCTGAGTCTTAATTTTAGATTTCATTCCCCGCGAAATTGGCTGCTGGCATAACCACAAACACGTTGTGCTGGTGCCTTTCTTCGCGGACCGGCAGTATCATGAGGTTAGTCTTCAATCAAATAAACTACATTTTATCCAACAGTGGATGCTTCGGCCCCGAACAGACACTCTCCTCTTGACAATTAGAGTTCAACCACCGCATCTGGCTCAAAAACGTCGCAATTATGTTCTGTTCTGAGACTTGTCATGTCTTGACATCCAGTAGGCCCTTAATGAATCTGAGTTGAGAATTGTTTGACAAAAAACCAGTGATGAGTACAGGAATTCGCTGCTATGTACCAGGTGTCGTTAGCTGCTGACCTTAATGACTTTTTAGTCCTTTCCGCTATCGCTCGCGAGTTCTTGACGTACTATCATGTCTAGACAGAGGCCTGCATTCTTCTACTGCATCCGTTGCTATTCTTTCATCAAGATTAAACGTTCTTCTTTCTTGAGAACTAGGGTTCTCGGCGCCTCTCCTCATGCACAGCTCGTTTCTATACTGAAGACATCCTATGCTCGAATCAGTGTCCGTATATAGCTTCAAGCAGGCTTGCCTGGGAAGATTTTTGGACTTGGCCTCCGGGGATACCGATTTCTACGTGAATGTTGTGGAGTCACGAGGTGCATGAATGTTCAAAAAGTTTCAAGTCCTTGAGAATCCTCAGGTGTGCGGTCTGGTTCCTGCTCTTTATCTCCGAAGTATTCAATTCTACAATACATGAATTCTTCGCTGGGTGATTCTCAATACCTGCCGAAGTTCCTACAGGCTAAATGACACTTTCCTTATCAACATACCTCGTGAGGCTGGCCCCTTCTCACGGACTAACTGGCCTGGACACGACTATACTTGCGTTCTCATGCCCTTCACTGGTGCCGGCCGATATGCTTCAGTGTTCTTAACGCGCAAAAAAAAACTTCTTTAACATGCAGGAGTGCTACACGCTACAAGCAAGCGCGCAATCAGAATTCTTTTCACCAGTGCAAGATTCTTTTCATAGATAGAGCTTCACTTCATTTGGTGAGGTACTACTTCCAATAGAGCGCTTACTACTGCGATTATTGTACTCTCTGCAACAGTCTCTTTCTCACAAAGACGGCATATTCTCAGGTTCGTCCATATGTGTATACTTCGTACGCCATGAAGGTTGACTTCTTCATCCAGCACAAAAATTCCTCGGTACACAAGAAACTAGATTCGTGCACGCGCATGTTCCAAGCACCATCCGAAGTCGCAGCTCGTCTTGAATCTGGCGGCTGCAATCCCAGCATTAATCGCCACCATGTCACAGCCGCAGTGCACGGGATGAACTCGTGTCCACAGCGATATGTATATCTAACCGTATCGGAGGACTGGCAATTTCCCGACATGTTCATCTTGCCGCGACGGAAATGGCTTTCAGTGGGAAGGTGCATGAATGTTACTTATACCGTGACACATTTCATATGCTGCTCTCCCTTAATGTTCATCTCGTGTCTCCCTTTCATGATGCAAATGAGCCTGAGTACCAATGCAGGAAGGATTCAGGACTATTACATTACTCCTCTACCGTAAGAGGATGCTTTCAATGGCATGGCAATTCTCAGATTTGGTTCTGGGTTATTTAGATCCGCGATATCCTCCATAGCATCAAAGGATCCGAATATCTGTTACAAATCTATAGTACTCAAAGTATGACATCTTGAGAAGGAGCAAGAGTAAACTCCGCCTGTCTGGAGCTCTCTCTAGCCATTGTTTTCTCACGGGCACATGGTGTAGATGGTTTATCACGCCCGCTTAGCATGCGGGAGGTGTTGGGTTCAAGTCCCAATGTGTCCAATCTATTTACTTTTTTGTTGATAGCACCACCACGAGTAATCAACCTTTCGGGGCTCGGAACGTCGAGCGAGTTACGACTTCCTCTCCTACCATTACCTTTTCGAGTTTCACGTTCTGAGTATGTGAACTTCCGTCTTTCGTATATTCCAAGGCTGAACGCGATATAGAGATGCCTCTTGATGCTCTTGTCATTCTAGATCCTATACGACCAATAGTCGGGAGTGGACCGTTGTTAGAAATCGACGGAGGTGACGGGGATCCTGTGAGCATCACGCCAACTGGAACAGCCGCGCACGTGAAGTGGAACGACTTGCGGCTAGTCTGTGCGTTGTCGCCGCCAACAGACCCCCTTGTCGGATTCGCGTTTCTCCATGCATTCATCGACGTGCTCACAAGCTATTTTGGACCAAACACGTCGGCGGCGACAATACGCGATAACTTTGACGTCGTCTACGAACTCCTGGCTGAGGCCCTCGACGCAGGGCATCCGCTCACCACCGCCCCCAATGCGTTGAAGGACATTGTCATCCCGCCTTCCCTGCTTTCTTCTCTTCTTCCAACATCTACTGCCTTACCAAAACCATTTTCATCTCCCATTCCATGGCGACGCGCACCACCAGTTCGACATTCTCCCAATGAGATATACTTTGACCTCCTCGAGTCACTCGACGGAGTTGTCAGTCGCTCAGGGCACGCAACGAAACTCATCACGAGGGGCGTCCTTCGAGCAAATGCACTACTTTCTGGCACTCCAGATTGTTTGCTGTCTTTCGCAAATCCCAATGTGATAACACAGCCCTCATTTCATCCATGCGTTCGCCTCGCTCGCTGGTCAGCGAACCGTTCACTTTCATTCGTGCCACCTGATGGCCGCTTTGTGCTTATGGACTATGAACTCGTTACACCGCCTGCACTTCCCATAAGCGTCAAGATACATGTCGGGATAGAGGAGGGCAAGGCGGAGATTACCTTAACACCTCGTCTTGCACTCGAGTCTCTTCTCGTCTCTCTTCCCCTCGGAAATGTCTCTGGTGTCCGTGCGACTGGTGCACCTTGGTCGTGGGATTCTCAAGCGCAGACTCTTAAGTGGGACATTCATTCTCCACCTAAAAATTCAAGATACGTGTTAAATGTGACCTTTACTGCGGATAAAAGGTGTGTTCTCTGTTCCCGAAATTCTGTTCGATGCTCATTATGTGCGATCTAGTGTTCGCCCGACGCATGTACTCTCTACTTCTTTCACCGTGGCGAATGTGGCGAACGGTTCGACTTTCTCTGGTTTACGGGTCGGCAAGTTCTCCGTGAGCGAAGAGTACACGCCTTACAAGGGTGTGAGGGGACGTGCAGAAGGCAAGATCGAGTGGCGATGGTAAGGCGGAGCCGTCGTACAGATCCGGGAGTATGAGTGCCAGAACACCGCTCCCTGGTGTGGTCAAAGCTGCATCGATATTGCCCAGGTGTCTGTCATACAATGGGGACGAACATGTAGGGTTTCGGGAAGAAGGCATCTGCTCTCAAGCTCGAGGAATTGAAATTTCATTCCCACGCATCTGTACTCATAAAGATATGCCTACTACTCGAACACTTCCTTTCCAAAACAATTCGCTCAGGCTGAATGTAGATCTTGACAACACCCGTGACCTTGGTGTCTTCTAATGAAAGATAGCACTCTCGTGGACTCATTAATTTTCTATCCTTATGTTAATGGGATGCGAATTAGGCCGAGCAGCCGTTGTTGACCTCAAAGCCGTTAAGTTCAGAATGCGCCACTCCCTTCTTTGGACCTGATATTACACTCGCAGGCACTGAAGTCAACGATCCAGCCATAAATATGTGCATCTGCTGGGCGGCCGGAGGTTTTTCGGGCCCTGCAACGCTCTTATGGATCTCAACTGAAAGCCGCGAATATCACCTGAGGGGAGGTTTCCGTGATATGCGGATCCACTTTTATCTTGAGGACACTATTAGCAGCTGGTCTTCAATTCGGGACCCGAGCATCTCTGTTTCGTTTTCCTGTTACATGTGTCCTGTCCTGGTCCACGAGATTCTGCCAATCGTGTCTGAGCGGTCTCTGAAACTTGTTCCTTGAACGGACATAATGGCGTTGAAGATCTTTGGTCGTCTCAAAGGGAGTACGTTTTAGATGGTCCTTTGGGAATCAGATTCAGCTTTCCGTCCTACAACTGTCGTACGATTACGGGGTATAATAATGCGACGGCGATGTGGTACGCATCTTTGACGTCTTTGGCTTTGTACACCTAGAACTCATTTTCTTTCAGGATGTACGGAAATTACTGTCCGCTCCTTTCAACCACATCCTCCTCCTTCGCTTTTGCTTCCGGGCGTGTCGGATACGGAAATTTATAGAAGGTTCGGCACACGACTAACAATGAACAAGATGTCTGCACAGAGCGTATGGCAAGTCATGGAGAATGGCTGACTGACTGTTATTAATAGTAAGCGTGCCTTGCACGGCCTTCTCTTTATCTATTGTATGGTCGTGACATACATCTAAAACTCTCAAGGAAAGTGCTACTGCGGAATCACATCTTGGCTCTTGAGGTGTATACTTTGGACTTCTCTCGATCAAGTGGTTGGGCTGTGCTGATAGAACTCAGCCAAGGACGTTCGTCAGCTACCTGATGACTTGGAATTGGACGTCAAAATCCAGGTTGACTCTCGGCTCGTTCCCATCACTGCGTTTATGACTACGCTGTGACGTATGTCCCGACGCATATACATAGTTCCCGGCGTGTATAAATGGCGTGCGTATTCCCCCAGTGCTCTTTCTTTCCTTCCCCCACTATCTCCTGCCTTCCACTCTTTCGCAAGTCCTTCCACGTAATTACCTGTCTGAAACCCGTTTGGATGTCACATATGCGCTGTCATTCGTTTCACTCGGTCCGAGTGAAAGCTGGCGATACTTGCTGTCCTCCCTCTCGCCGCGCTCGCAGATTTGCCCACACTACCATTCTGAACGTCCAGATGCCGGCACCTTGGGCAAGCATGGTTCTTGGCACATGGAGATAAGCTTTGGGCTAATCTTCCTCACTCTTCCAGTCTCGTTCTCTTTATCAGGATCGTCCTCTAGAGGAGT